GAGAAAAAATAATATACAAGTGTAAAACAAAATGGAGAATTTTGTCTCTCTCCAAATATTGAACATATTGTAAATATGGACATGACCCACCCACACTAGCACCAAACTATTCTATTATACTTATATTCCTGTATACACAGATGTTACTCAATACTATATGCGTACCTATACATTTTGTCAATTTAGTTCATTTTATATATTGCAATGTTCAAGTCGAGATCTTTATTTGTTATTTAAATGGTTTGATGTTTATAATATGTACTTGGAAATAGAATCTCGGGAAAAATACTGAATATGCGAATCACTAGAAAGTTGTATCTGATGAAGTAAGATTTATTATGGAGAATTATGTTGAAATATGATACGCTTATGACAGATGATAATGCAAGATAAGAGGGACGCCTCGAAGATGAATAACAACAATAGTTGCAAATCAGCTGTCAAGCCATGGCGTATGAATAAGTGCAAAGATGTTATTTTGTTATTGTCACGTAGTAAATGTGATGCGTGAAGAGAGAGAGATATAATGACGTGAAGGCACTCGAAAGTGCAAATTGATGTATTCGTTTCAAAGTGAGACGATAGATGTATGAAATAATGTTTTTCTCGCGATATGAAGAGAAATAGGGACAAAGTGAATTGTCAGATCAGAGGAAATAATGGCAGATACAAGGTTAATGATATTCGGGATGTACGAGATGAAGTTTCCACAAAATACCTAGATATTCATCATATTATGTAATTCAATGCTCGTCGTAGGTATTAGCCAGGAGTGTAGTTGTTTTATGATGAATATCATACAGGAAGATTTGTTTTTTTTCGGTGACAAACCATTTATATTATTAGAAAACAAAAAAATTAGTAACATTGAGATAACATAGGAATGAGAATTAATGGAATGAATGAAACATTAAAATAAAAATCATTAATACGGGTGTGTCATTCATATTCCAAATCGAGAAATAATCTCTTTTTTATAATTTGAACAGAAATTGTTCGGCAACACAAACAATTTCATACAGAGTGGAAAAGAGATTCTTCAAAAGGGTAGTAAAAGAAGGTATATCTTGATTTTCCTGTACTGAGACCTATCTTTTTGATGAACTCAAGATAAGCAGCAGGAAAATCATGAGAAAATAATTTTGTTTGAACTAATTTAGGAAGTTTTTAGAGATCATTACTCGAGAAAGTTACGTCGATAATATTCAATTATTTTATAACTAGTTAGGTAGTTTTATATGTATTCTTTTGTATGAACTTACTGCCGATATTTTTTCTCTCTTGTTACATGTGAAACGGAGAACCACACTCGACGGCACTACAAACATGCAGCCCAAGAAGTCGACCTGAACCACAAACAGTCATAGGCCCATATACCACGTCAAAGGTGTTTTGGTCCATGAGAAGTTCCATCGTTCCTGGAGTCATCTAGTAGATGAAATTCGAATGGTAGAGAGCCCTGGAAAATTGGAAAATGCAGTTATCACGGAATGAATAAGCCGATATATCGCAACTATAGGATGCATGCCCCAAGCAACTTACTTTGTATCCCGCCTGATGTGCCTCGAAATGGTAGATACGCTGCCCCGTGAAGAGCTGCCCAATTCGCATGACGATATGCTTTTCCGACGCTACAGGAGCCCAAAAGGCAGCCAAAATCCAAGAAACCTAGACGAAATTTCCACGAGGTTGAGATGGAAAGGTGCAGGATAAACAAAACTTACCAGAGCCCCGACTACAGGAAGTCAATACAGTAACCAAAGTAATGTCTATATTCCCAAGCAATTAAGTTCGCACAACTACTCACTATACGAAAATCACACCAATTATAAGTGTAGATGGTACCGAACTACCGAAATCATTGCAAAAACGAAGCACTAGTAGCAATGGACGACCAACTACTTATTCAGCAATTTCCGTTATCTGCATATAAAGAGACAGAGATACTCTCCTAAATCTCTTCTTGATTTTTCTCCAGAGCCGATAGAGCGCAGCATCCAAAGAACGCAGCAATTGCAGTCTATAAGCTGAACCGTACACTGCCATAGAAAACGTCTCATCAGAGAGCTAGTGTTCCCTCCCAGGCGAGATTGGACGCCGTTAGACCTTCTCACAGATCTCACGTGCATCAATCCTACCATGTTATGATCTCAATGTTATGGATGTATCGAGTTGCAAGTGAAACAAAACATCACTGACCTACGATACTAACATATGGAAAATGGAACCGCAACCTCAGATGACTGGAAGGACATAGTTCAGTGTCAACAAACAATTAAAGTGTAGTGCCGGACCAAATGATTTTCAGTGTGGTCCTCTTTGAAACTCTCACATACGCGAAGAAAATAGACTTATCTAATGTTATCACAAGTTCTTTTCATTTGTACATCTCCTTTTTTAACTAACGATTTTTTTTCACGTAATGTTTTTATTTATCATTGATGTAGATATGATTTTCACACAATTTTATATTTTTTATTTCATTCGATCACTTAGGTACTTCATTTGATTGTCTCATTATTCGATTTGATTATTGTTTTGTATCATGTATATAGGTAGTTATAGACACTTGAAGCTGTGGGGCCAGCTTCGTCAAACAGGGGAGATGTGTCAAGAAGTACAAATGTCTATGAAATAACTTTCGTTCGTTTCAAGATCTTCTATCATTAATTAACTTTTCCAAATTAAAACATTCAGTACATTGCAGTTCGATCAGGCCAGCGGAGTTCATAGACATCATTTCCTTTATAATTTGCAAAGAAATCGCTTACCGCGGCGATAATACCTAGGTAAGCGGTATCGAAAAGCTATCGACCGTTCCCCGTGTGGAAAATAGCGAACCTAGCATCGATTCCGAATATAAATAGATTCCGAATCGATAAGCCATTCATTACTGATCATTACTGATTTTTGATTATTATTGACCACTCATTCCTGATTACATTACTATTTGATTATTACTAAGTAAAATGCATTTCGATAACACTTTACTTTATTCCGTAATTGAGTTACTAATTCACGAGTTGCTGCCAAAATGTGTACCGTCTTCCCGACTTTGATCCTGCTGGTCAACCCCATGTTAGATGTCATGATGTAAGTACTGTTTTCCATGTTCTATCTGATTTGTTTTTTCTGTGTTGTGTTCCGGTTGTTAATTCACTATGGTTTGTCTCTGCCACTTTGCCATGTGGCACGCATTTATTCACGACTTTCCCATTAAATCAATAAATGTTAATGTTATACGAAAACTATCTTGACTCTTCATTTGGGGATGAATATGGTTGGGTGGTAAAATGATTGAAAATCCTCTCATCAAGCCAAGCGAGTAGCCAAGTTGCGATCCATAGGAGGGCAACATCTGAGTTGCGACATGTGGTGGGCACGCCGTTTGCCAAATAATCTACCAAAACCATCTGAGTTGCGACAATATTTTAAGATTATCATAATATGACAGTCAATTGTAGAAAGTAGGTTGAAAAAATTAAACTGTCGATGATGGTCTTGTTACTATGTTGTTATTCATCATGCATAGTGATATCATGCAGATATTACTCTCTAGTTGAAGTTGAAAATATAGAAATGATTCAGACAGGATACCGCGGGTGTCCCAGGTAAGGAATGTGTTTCAATGGAATAAACTATTCATGGCAAGAGTTGAAAAATGTTAATATTCTTGATTCGATGTGAATACGAGGGCCTTTTATTTGGGAGAAATTATACTTTTTTCTAGTGGCTCATTGTACATTTTCTTCAGCTTCTCAAATATATTCAGAATAACTTCAGATCAAAATTATTTCAGAGCGCAGAGAAATTTTTCAACATTCATTTCGATTTCCAAATATAATTCAATATAAGGACCTCGTGTTTATATCGAATCAAGAATATTAACATTTCTCAACTCCTGTCATGAATAGTTCATTCCATTGGAACACATACCTTATCTAGGACACCCGGTAAACTGTCTGAATCATTTCTATATTTTCAATTGATGCAACTTGAAAATGATATCTGCATGATTTCACTATGAGAAATAACAACATAGTAACATGACCATATCATCGAAGCTGCCACTATTGAACACCCAATCGCCCCGACGATCCAGACATTACATGTGACCTCGCGATTTCATCCCCTCAAGACTCCGACTGCAAATAAGAATGCAAAATATTGCCAATACACTGATCATGCACGAAGGTATTCTAAAATAGAAAACCAGAGTGCTATTACAATTCACCAAGAAGATTCAGTTTATACGACAAGAATATTGGGAGTACCTGATATTTCCAGAAGGACATGGCATATGATGGTTGGATGGCTGCAAGAGACATCGTCAACTTTGTTGAAACGAATAATGTTCGCCACCATTCATCATTTCATTCATACTTTTTCTCGTATATGTTTTTGGATTTCACAGACAGTAAATTTCCTAACGCTTTCTCAGGTTTGGGCGTCACATTATGTGAGACCTCTATAATTATTATGAACGTAATCGTTTATAGTTTCCTCCACTAACAAGCTTGTCAATTCTAACAAAAATGCAGCGTCGTTTTATTAAATAAACAACCCTCAGCAACCTCTCCGATGTTTCTATAGCAACTGCATAGAAGCTCACTTGTGCTCAGTTGCCAACCAGAACGCGGTAAATACTATGAGAATAATGAAGTGAACAGCGTCGTTTGAAATTATTCTTCCGTAAAAAAATTAATCTTTTATGCACCACGAACGTACCTAAATAACTATTGAGGACTTGCCTCATACTCATTTCAAATACCTTCGAACAAATCCATGAAGTTGTAAAACAACTAATACACAAGGTCTACAACCCAAGTTTGAGCGTTATTGACTGAAGTAAAAAAAAACATAAGGTCTGGACATCTCCAATGTCTTCGTCATGTTTGTTTAACAGTTACCTACCTCAGGCACAGATCAATATGTTTATATTAGTTTCCATACTGCATATGTTTCATCTGACTATTTGCATATTATGTCTTGATTTCCAGGTGTTTCACGATTAGTATCAGTGTTCTCGCTATACCACAATTGGCGAAAGAGAACAACTCCCATTGATAATGCAGACTATGGGAAGCTCAAATCTATGCAGGGTATTCGATTCTATTGTTTACTCCTCGTGTTGATGGCTCATACCAAATTAAGCTATGGTATGGTTTATCTTTCAAATCCATCATTCTTGGAGCAGGTACAGTTTCTTATATTATTATATTCTTCCTTGAAAGTTCAATAATAGACCTTCATCCTCTCATTCGACGTTGTTCCTCCTCGAATACTATAGAGAAAAACCTTGATTCGTGTTTCGATCAGTATTGCTTCGATATTCATTCATTTGGACCAAAGGTAGTGCTTGGAAATTTCGTAAAAAAAAAGGATTTTCATGAAATTTCCAATGACACGACATATTTCGCTATTTCAGTTGTGATGGTTTGCAATGAAACACACTCCTTCAGTCCGTGATTTATTGATATTTGAAAATCAGATTCCAATCTGATATATGATGACATTTGCTTTAACATTGCTTTGACACATTGTGATGAAAGGAGATCCTACATTCTTTACATTCTCTAGATTACTTATATGAACGTAGAATAACTTACCTGATAACAGGGCTATTAGTAATATTAAGGATATGATAATATTTCTTGATACTATTTCAGAAAGGCTATCAGATTGGAAATTGGTCTCAACTCAATAAATGAACGATTGAATAATAAACATGTCTCTTAGAAACATCATATACTGAGTATTCTGCTACACAGTTCATTCCGAAAGTAATTCACATGAAGAAGGTATACCTATACTCTGTTAGCGAAACAGTTTGTGTTATTGAAAATATTGTTTTCATAGAAAACTGAAGATTTCCAACAAGTTACGACTTATCGACGATCGAATTTATATCATTTCCACATAAAGAACGTTGTTATTCAGTTCAACTCATTTTGGGTGCTGGAACAAAGGATAGAAATACATGCGTCATTTGAAGTGGAATTCAACAGCTGATTATTAATAATAATAATCTAAGGATGGATGATGATATCATGGTAGCCATCATGAAGGCGGATATAACTTATTCCTCATTCTCTTTGATTATAGTTTTCTTTCCTCGTAGTCGTATTTGGGTTTTCTAAACTGTTCTTTATTCGGAATCATTTTTTTCTTCTCATTATAAAATACTCATCTGTTCAATCAGATTGATGATTCTTTTCATTTCATGTCAGGAGAATATTAGTACCTTTTCGAGAATGAAGAAGCCTGTTACTGGTGAGCAATTCTATGTCAACGAGAACAAGAAATGACATCAATCACTGAGTCTTAGCAAACCGGTGCAAAAGCATTGCCCTCTGATGTATTACTCAAGAAAATTCAACTAATGGAGACTTAATTTGCCGCATTTGTCACAACGTGACCAAGATCGCGGAACACATACTTATTAGCGTCTGCGGGACGGCCGCAAGTAATAACTCCGTGGTGGAAGAACGTTATAGTGGGCAGTAGATGCGACTGGCGTTATGTGGCGCCGACTGAATGACTTCATCATAATTCGTCTCGTAAGCATCTGGTTGGCACAGTAAGCAGAGCATCGGCATTCCAAGCCGGCGGGCCGGGGTTCGAATCCGTGCGAGGCTCATCTTTTCTTTATTTTTTTCTTGTTCTCAAGTGATTTCTAAAAAATATTCTCTATGGGAAATAGGTTCATTTAGGGGTTTTCTATGTTTAGGCCAGAGGTGAGGTTCGGTTAGGTTAGGTTAGAATAGAATAGAATATTTTATTTGGTGTTAATAAACATTAAGTTTTACACAGGTCAACGAAACAAGTACAGATATACTCATAAAATAGATAGGTTAGGTTTTCTCATTTTTTATGCAGAAACAATATTTTCCTTTCTCAAGCAAAATTCTTCTTCTTCAAGAAAAAAGGTTCATCTAGGTCGATTGATTGTTAAAAAAAAATCCTTCCTTATATTAGACTCGAAACGTTCCCCTACCACGGAGTTATTACTTGCGGCTGTCCGCAGACGCTAGTCACATACTTTGCTCATGCATCTAATGTTTTAGTTCACTGAATTCTGATCCAGCAATTCCCTACTGATGTGGAAAATTCAGTTGATAAAACATACTTGAGTACTGTGAGGAATCAGGAGTCGAGTTACACACTCACAAAATCAATAACTCACATGGCCAGAATGCCTGCACATCAGGCAGTGTAGTTTGATTCTTTTAGAAATGCGTAGATCATAAACTATCTACGGGAACCGACGAAGAACACTATTTTTTGCAAAATTTACGCATATTTGCTTCATATTCAACTTGCTCTAGCTCCTTACGCGTTAGTTCACAATGCATGAGCAACAACAATTAATAGGAAATTTCAATTCCAATTTTTATGAGTGTTAATTTCTGCTCAAATGTATGGTTTCGGAACATCTCAAAACGCTCTAGGAAATATTATTTTTCAAACTTCACATTCAGATTCAGCACCCCAAGAAACATATGAAACCGCTAAGCAAAGGACTACTTGAATTTCTTCCAGGTGCAAATACCATTCCAGTCCACCAATATGGATATATGATATATTATCCTTCTTTGTGAAGATGGTATATAGGTTCGAGCCATCTTACATTATTAGCGGCATCGATGTTTCCATATTTGTTTTCTGTAATAATATCGTTGGTCTGTATCAAGAGTGAAGAAGACTATTTTTTTCCAGGTCGCATCAAAGCCTTTACTAAGTTATGTGAACATTCTAGATGTCTTTATTGTACAACCATATTTCATGATTTCATCTTGGCTTCTCACAATCCAAATTATAAATGTTTCTCGAAATCATGAGGAATTCAACATCAAACAAGTGGGAGCAATTATTCTCAATAGATATTTCAGGTGAGTTGAATTCGAAATTTTCAATATTCTTCATGGACTTTCACGAATAAATAGGTATTCAGGCGGATAAACAGATGGACCAGGTCAAATGAATCTAATTGCCTCTTCATTGGAGGGAAGAGTTGATGATGAAAATCATATTGTTCGAGGAGTCAAAACTCTGTGAGAGTTATTTTTTATGTCGATCAGGATAGAAAAAGGAGAAGATGATAAGCAAGTTGCTTAGCAATAATATATTGTTTGAAATCAGTGAGGAAAGTGAGATAGAGGAAACAGAAATAGAAATATTTGAAGTGATTACCCAGATAGCACGGGACGTCCCGAAGACGTCCATTTCAGGTCCATTTTTGGTCTGAATGTCCAGGACCTTTGATGGACGTTTTAAAGACGTCCATTATTGGACATACTCCGGACGTCCAGAAAAAGACGTCTTCAAAACGTCCAATTCACAGACTCTCACGGTATATCAGTTAAAATCAATATAAGTAGGTAGGTATTTATTGATTTCAAAATTGGAATTATTGATTTGAATATGGACATGAATGATGTCAAGAAATATATTATATATCAGCTGTAGGTATCAATATAATATATTTCATTTTATTATTAATATTATGAATTTGAAATATTGATGATTTTAACTGATTTGTACCTACTTATATAGTTATGTTTATATTACTTCAATCACATAATACCTATATACAGTTTGACCATTCTTAAACCCACACTGAAGTATTCATACAAGCCGCGCTTTTATAATAAGATTTGATTGAATCACTGAATATGTAAAGCAACCGTAGAACGCATGCGTGCTCAGCGTTGCCAGACTTACTATTTTAGCAGTAGATCTACTGTTTTTGTCTCCGTTCCACTGTTCAACTATTCAAGGCAATGGTCTGATTGGTCATGTTTTGATATGACATAACTACCTAATATGCAACAATGAAAAATCAATGGGACACAATCACAGTAAGAAGATCTATGATAAAAATATACTGCAACTATCATATTCAGTCTGATTAGTAAAAATTAGCTTTTATTTTCAATCTGGTTGCGGTTTTTACAAATTTCATATTTTATTTCATTATTTTTTGTTATTCTTCGTTCGATTTTCATTAGGTATAATAGAGACCGAACATGATTTTTTTTTCGTTTATTATATAGGTGACTATGTTTTTTCATTTATAATAGCAAATTATGATGATAATCAAAATCTTCTGTTCAGTTTTGATGATCTACTGTTTTTTCCTCATCCATCTACTGCTCCGACAAATTTTCATCCGACAACACTGTGCGTGTTACGTGAAACGAAATGGGAAGATGGCGTTCGTCAGTTGACCACTGCCGAGTGCCGATTAAACTGTGATTCAGGTCCAAGGACATTCTGAACTTTTCGGGTTATTTGACTGTAAAAGCAGTGAATAAGTGAAATCTTTGCGGATATCATCTTTCAACTGGTGAACTTCGAACTCGACTTCTATTGAGATGTTTTGTGCTAACAGCAGCATGAAGGCAAGTATGTCTATCGACGCTATCGTTTTATTTTCATTCGCTTGAAGGTGCTTGAGTAAGAACATCGAATCTGGAGTTGAAAACATTAGATACCTTTCTATATAATTTGATTTCATGCAAAGCTCTACCTAATATCCTATTTCCATCATCTACAAAGGTTTATATTTTTGTATATAGTTAAAACATAATATATTTCGTGCAAGGTTCAAAGAGGTTATCAGTTTATGTTTGCAATAAGTTCTCAATGGAATAAAAATAATGAAGTATTAAGCTATACTGACTACTAAACGTTGAAAGTGGGTGTGTGTTTATGGTTCATGATATTCACAAAAGATGTTATTGAATATAATTATTATTAAATTTACAGATCCAGTGGAAGAAGACAACAGCAGAAGGCTGCCAATCAGAAAAAGACATCATCGCGCCTGCGTAACTGGATGAATCACGCGACGTTTTTAGTGGTGCAGCTGCTGATATACGATATGGAAGAGTGAAATTGAAACATAACTACCTAAATCTCTGTTCATATTATTGTTTGCGAATAAATGTTTACTAATATTCAAGTATTTCACTCTTCCGATGGGTCAGAAAATGAATAATCAATATTATCTGAATGTCCTCAATACGTCCATTTTTCATACCAAAAAGGTCCTAGTCTGGACCTAAACTGGACGTCCCCAAAACATCCTGATTATTAACAATGGACGTCCCCAAAACGTCCATAAGACGTCCGTCGTCCGGAAATGGACGTCCCCAAAACGTCCTGAATGTCCACAGTGGACGTTTTTAAAACGTCCATAAGACGTATTTGTGCTGATTGGGTAGGACAATAAACGACAATGATAAATAACGAATATAAAACGAACAATTTCCTGGCTGCATTCACGCGGGACTTTGAATTTAATTTTTCCGAAATCCATATAATAATTCGAATATATAAACAAATACTTATTGCTAAGTGAATTCTGTCATAATATCTGATCAGTTAGTACTAATGTTTTCACATATGAAAATATCACCTACTTCTGCTTTCATGAATGAAATGTTATTCATGAAAACTTCTCATTTCAGATTAGCAGTTTCCCTAGGTGTCGTGATTGCATTATTCAATACTTCTATGGCGAGATATGTTGGTGGTCCTCTCAATATCGAAAATGCATTATTACATGAGGAAGCATGCAGAAATAACTGGTTCAAAACTATATTGTTCATCAACAATTTCCAGTTCGTTATCGATGCGGTGAGTTTTAGAATTAATTGATATGTTTCATCACATAGTTTTTGATACTGTACTGAGGAAAATACATAGGTGAGTTGCGACAAAACATCACTTAAATCTGTACACAAGATTGTAGCATCCTGATAACCTTTTTCCACATCAACCAACAATTTATTTCTCTCTGAAAGATAATAAATATTAGGTCAACGCTAACATCAGCAAATCATCATTTCAGATTGCAGGCACGCGATGATTCTTTGTTCATAATGTCAGAAACTGCTTAGCATTTCTCTATGAAATTTCGACCAGCACTAGATTCAGTAGCCCTCTTATGGAATGTTATAATAATAAAAGCCACTTTATCGTGGCAATTAATTGAAAAAATGGGCAATTGCCAGTTCAAAGTGACTATTGCTAGGGTCCCTTGATGTAAATTGACGTATTTGTCATATGAACAGGGTACGGATAGATCCTCGTCTCCTCTCACTCTAAAGTGTTTGTGAAACAGTTATTTAGTTCCATCTTCATTCAATTCTGTGGATAAACACTAGATTTCGACATTCGTTGTTTTCTATATCCAAATGATGATCAATAACTTTTGAGCTTTTGATTTTTCAACTGCAGCATAATTTTTGTGAGGCAGTGAGCCTACATTTTTCTAGAAGTTTGATATGTTTTACCAAATGGGACTGTTCTGATGGTGAAAACTCTGATGTAGGTATTCAAACTAATGTGCTCATATGTCATGTGTACAGTATATTTAATATCCATTCTGGGTATATCATTTTTGCAGTTTTTTCGAACATTAATATTCTCTGAATGTATAGGTATAATTTTCAAATCAGAACTCTTTCTACTTAAATGCATTCGAGAACTTGTAGTGTGGATGACTAGGCACAATGAAAAAGTATAATATGTTATTTCGTAATCCTACCTCGCATATATTGCTGATGTATTCACCGATTTTCCAAATTTGGTCTCTTCAGTTTCCATGTTCTAAGTTCATTCGCATTTGTTGGAAAGCTGACAATTTCAAAGGACCCCGCACATTTAGTACGTAAAATGGCTTTCGGCTAAATTTTCTGAAAATTTGATATGTTTAAGACATTATCGTCCTTATCACACAGTCCAATTTACAGATCGATCCTATGACCAGTTTTCGAGCTACAGGGTGTCAAACATTAGATATTGGCTGTTTAGAATATTTTGCATCAATTTGAATTATGTGCTCTAAGTCGTGATTATTCTTCAGTAGGAATGAACTCTTCACGTCTAATATCTACCTCATGAATCCCTCTATTCGGTTAGAGGATAATATCACATACAGAGTATTGCATTCCATCATGACAAGGTAATATTCTTGGGAAAAGACAAATATTGAAAAACATCAGAATTTTGATTTTTACTCAATCACTGAAAACTTGAAAACAAACGGCTAGAATCGGCCAATTATGTGACACAGTATGGGTCTTGATCATAAACATGAGGATTCATATGATTACCTCTGATACCATGTCCGGTTGGCCATATATAGGGTGATGACAATTTGAAAGCTTATAGAATTGATGTAACTCAGGTACAAAATGAGATACATTTCTATAATATATGAAGTGGAAAATGAAATGTCTCATGAAATATCCCACCCCCACCAAGCCCCTGATGAGTCACAACCACCCCAACCCATATAATTTCAATAGTAGCCCCTACTTATTGTGATACCTCATTGAATAGCTTGGTGAAAATACATTTCAGTGGTATTATTCATATCTCGAACTGGGTGAACTAATAAAAAATATTCATCACCTATATCATTCTGCTGGGGTGACGTATTAATTCCGTAACTTTTTGTAGTATGGAAAAAAATCGTTATTATCGAGCATTATATAAATAACCATAAAAGTGAAATTTCTTATGTGAACAGTTGGCTAGTGAAGCGAGAGAAAACTAAAATCTACAGAATGTTCTAGTAACCTAACCTAACATAACCTAACGTGAGCTGGTCAGACGGTATAAGGACACAGCTCCATTCAATCCAGCAGAACATCTCCAAGATAGAAGTTGTTAAACTGTGACATGTCCGCTATGTTTGAATTCTCAAGAGAATTTGTATTTTGATGATTGTCAAAAGCTGCTGATAGATATTTTTCACATTGTGGCTCACATTCTGGCGAGATGGTCGTATTGAGACAAGTTGTCAGATACCATAATATGACATCAAGCATTGCTATAGATGAACTGATAGGCACAAGCCATGAATGATAGTACATAATGGGTCGCACTGTTGATGGCGATTTCCGAAAATATTGTTGCTTGGGTCTTCGCTGGAATTCAGCAGAGATCGTTCACTATCTATATCTGCTTGAAGACTATATATATTTCATTCATGCGGTTATTTTTGCATATTGTTGTGTGCATTACAAACTGTTTTGGAGTCTGAATGGAGCTGAGTAATATTTCTGCATTGGTAATCAGTATTCCTATTGTTTTGGAAAAAAATATTGAGATGATATACGTTGGGGTGGTTGTGACTCATCAGGGGCTTGGTGGGGGTGGGTTATTTCATGAGACATTTCATTTTCCACTTCATATTGTTACGATTTTACTCTGGGTCCGTAATAACTTAACACTCGGTATAACACTTAAAACGATTTATTCTGAACACTACTATACAATAATTACAATACTCGTACTAAACACTTCCGATTCACAACACTTCTTCGATCGTTATTATAACGCTTCCAAATAAAGACTTCCCTTCCTGTCCCTAACAACATCTATTTATATTACCTAATAAAACGTCTAGATTCCACTCGAAATATCGTGAACAGGTCGATAATCTTCTCGAGTCATCTCAATAGCCGTCGAATCACCTAATTACTATTCCAAGAAATATGGCTTGTTTACATCTCGCCGCAGGTAGCTGGGATTGATCGCCAGGGTCGTAACATTTACCCCCTTCTTCAAATTTGATCGTCCCGATCAAAAACAGAACTTTCCTCACCATGATAAGGCTTCAGTCTTTCAAGATGAACGACTTTCATCTTTGTCCTAGGGCTGCGTTGGATTCTATAGACCACATCATTGATCCTTTTCAACACCTTATACGGTCCTTCCCAAGATGGTGTTAATTTGGGTGATACGCCTTTCTTCCGTCGAGGATTATACAGCCAAACTCGATCTCCTTCAAAGAATCCTTCTGAATTGGCTTTGAGATCGTACCGTGCCTTCATTTTGTCACTTGCTAATTTCAATCTTTTCCGAGCAGTCTCATGAATTTTCATCAAGCCATTCCGGAGCTCATCTGCGTAGTCTTGTACTTCCTTTTCTTCAACACTTGGTGAACCGAACACCAAGTCACAAGGTAAGCGGAGTTCTCTTCCAAAGACTATACTAGCTGGAGTTAGCTTCGTTGAATCATGGACAGCTGCTCTATACGCCATCAGGAATAAGGGAAGATGCCTGTCCCAGTCCCTCTGATGCTCTTCGACTACTTTGGAAAGATGTTCTTCCATAGTTCGGTTGAATCTTTCGACCATGCCATCGGATTGTGGATGTAGTGGAGTTGTTCTGGTCTTACTGATTCCCATTAGATCACAGACCTTTCTGAATAAGTTCGACTCGAAATTTCTCCCTTGATCAGAATGTAACTCCATTGGTACCCCGAACCGTGAAAACATGTTGTCGACCAATATCCTGGCAACTGTGGAGGCTTCTTGATTTGGCATGCCGTATGCTTCTACCCACTTACTGAAGTAGTCCATAGCAACCAAGATGTATTTATTTCCATCATCAGTCAAAGGGAATGGTCCGGCTACATCGATGGCGATCCTTTCAAACGGTGCACCCACATTGTATTGCTTCATTCCAGCTCTTGATCTCGTTCTGGGACCTTTACTGGCTTCGCATACAGGACATCTTCTACACCAACTTTCCACGTCGTCACGACATTGAACCCAGTAAAATCTTTCTCGAATTTTACTCAGTGTCTTGTTAACTCCAAAATGTCCACCAGATTTTCCGCCATGGACTTCTTCCAGAACTTCATTAACTCTGATGTGGGGCACAACCAGCTGAGAAATTGTTGATCTACCATCAGCTGATTCCCAAACTCGCTTCAATAATCCATTCTCCACAACTAGTGAGTCCCATTGTGCCCACATCGCCTTGAAAGCAGGCCCTCTATCCGAGATATCCTTCCATGTCGGTCTTTCTGTTCCTCTTTCTTTCCAACGTAGAAAATCGGCGATATTCGGATCGTTCTCCTGATCTCGTCTCATGTGTGCTGCTGTCCACTTATCATCGGTCACAAGTCTGGTTTTTCTAACATCAGCGGTTCCTTCTCGATGTTCAATGCGCAGACAATGCTTACAGGTTTCCGAACAAGGTCTTCTGAACATGGCATCTGCATTCTGGTGTAGTTTTCCTGGGCGATGCTTAATCTTGAAGTGATATACTGGTTCAGCTTTTCCAGCCATCTTGCTATTTGACCTTCAGGATTCTTCATCTCCATCAGCCACCTCAAAGCTGCATGATCCGTCCTAATGAGAAATTCTCTCCCGTATAAGTATTTGTGGAAATGGTCAACAGCCTTAACAATTGCCAGCAGTTCTTTCCTGGTGACACAATAATTCCTTTCTGGTTTGGCCATCACTTTGCTGTAGTATTCTATAACCTTTTCTTGACCATCCTGTACTTGTGATAGCACGGCTCCAATTCCGATGTTACTCGCGTCTGTGTCCAAAATAAACAAGCCTCTCTCTTGTGGGAACCCCAAAATAGGACTCGAACAGAGGCCAGCCTTCAATTTCTTGAAGGATTTCTCACATCCTACAGACCAGTTGAAGTTGACTCGATCTTCTGTCAATCTATGGAGTGGTGCCGCAATATCAGCAAATCCTTCCACAAAACGACGGTAGTAAGTGCACAATCCCAAGAAACTTCTAACTTCATGTTTGTCCTTCGGTCTTGGCCAGTCTCGAATGGCTTGAATCTTTGTCTCGTCAGTTTGTATTCCTTCTGAC